GCTGCAGAGCGGTCACGCGTGGCGTGGATGCCGAGGATCCACAGGGCAGATCGCTGTTCCAGTTTCCTCGCCTCGAGCCAGCCTGAGGGGGCGCACCTACCGTACTGAAACCGACTCCATCAGAAAGTGAAACGGAGATCGGAGACATACTCACAGATCCTCCCCTCACACCTGCTCCTGCACCTGCTCCACCCACATCTCTCGCCACCTCCAGACCCAAACGCAACGTCCGCGCACCCACGCGCGGACGACGACTCGCGCTACACTGTGAGCCGTCGTATGGCTCACATAGTCGCCCCGCCCTGTACGCCAGTGCCCTCCAACACCCACCCAATCAACCCTAGCTCATCGATACCCCCGTCGCTTTCGGTTGGCAGACTTTGCAATGACAAGAGAAATTGCCACGGCCTGGGCTTCACGATTGACCGGTAGCCCCACCGATTTCACGACTGGTACTGTCTGGAAGACCATCTTCGATCAGTTCGATGAAATTTGTTCATATCCCTTGAACTCTCGATACGCCGGGGAGGTCATGGGCATTGATTACATGGTCATAACACAATCTGCGAGGCTTAAAGGGTATAAGGACATGAATCCCGCCCTTATTCACAGTTTGAGGAAGGCAAGCGAGAGGCTGTTGCCCGACAGCTACCGCAGGAAGGAGGTGCGTCAGCCTGGGTACGAGCATGCCCAAATTTGACAGGTGCTCCAGGAGTCCAGCACTCTCAGGCTCTCGATAAACCATTCCGTAATTCTATCAGAATGAGAATGCAATCATGGCACCCTTGACAGAAAATTCTTTGCAGGGAGGACTGACGGGTGGGACGACTTGAACTTAGTGGGCCGAGGGTGCGGGTGCAGTAAGGAAAAAAATATCAGGTGCAGCGGAAATTGAGAACACGCACAGTATTCATCGCATCGCAAGTTCAGCTTCAAGCGTTCAAGACTCTCGTGACCAGAAGGTACGGGACAGTCAGCAGGGTTAAGCGCCCGGAGTTCTCCAGCGCCATTTGGATCAACGTTAGGTTCACTGCCACCAATTATCTTCCGTTACCATGTTACACACAATGTCAAGGCGATCCTGAGAGGTGGTCTTGTGCGTAATGCCTTTGCACGATTGTTGAGGTACGCCCATATTCATGGATGCATTAACTCGAGACCTTACTGACATATCGCTTCTTGGGCAGCCTGTAAATTCAAGAAGCAGGACTCCGGCAATGTACATGGCTCAAAGATTCTGTCCCGGAATTTTTATTTTTCAGGTTCACGAGTGGCATCCGGGTACTCCATGCGTTTCTGGATACACTCAGGCTGTCGCGGGGTGACATGGAGAAGGCAACAGGGTTACGTGTGCAACGAGGAATGACCAACGGAGTGCTTATATCTCCCGCACTCGGGTCTCAGCCACGGTGGACTATGGCAACGATCGTGTCAAGACGTCTGGTCCAACTCAGGCCGTTCAAGGCTTCGATGAATTATTGGTGAGTCCGATTTTCTCGTGTACGATTCGAAGGTTGTCACCTTGGATAGGTCAACGTAGGATCGCCCCGTGATGGGGGCCCAATCCAGTAGCCCCACCAACCGATGGCTGTCGATTAACCCTAGATTTCCCCATACAGTACGCCACCCCTCAGGGTTCAGTTCGACTTCTTTCTGGGCGGCGAGCGCCTTTTTCTTCTTTCAGATCCGCGATCTAGTTCCTCGGTTTATTACCCAGTCACGCCGTATCCCTGTTGCACCGTATCCCTCGACGGCTAAGTCTATTTATCCATGCTCGGCCGCAGCTGGGTCGCATCTTCGCCCCGCACTAGTGACCCACCACATCGTAGCAGCCAACATGGCCATAAACAACGACACCTCTGCCTTGATTGGCTTCGCGTGCGAGACATTTCTTTATGGTACAGTCAGCTCACTGGCAAGTACCCACAGGACAACTCGGTCGCTCACTTCTCTCTAGGTTGTTATACAATCCTCTTCGCTGTCTCCATCCATTTAATGTTCAAACGCTCACGCCACCGGCTCAGCGTCAACAAATACATTGCGGTTATCAGTGTACTCTTGTACTTGTCTTGCACCACTCACTTCGCCCTCGAGTTCAGCCATTTCTATACCACCTTAGTATGTACCGCACCGCATCAAGCCACACTGCCGCTGAACATCCGCAGACGACCAAAGGCGTGAATGGGTTCGGGGATGAGACGAACGCGCTCATTGGCGCAGATCTCCTCATCTCTATCACGGATTTCATCGGTGAAGTTATCCTCATCTACCGCTGCTGGTTACTATGGTCCCGGAACTATTGGATTATCATCTTGCCGAGTCTGACTGCGATTGCGACCCTAGGTAAGTCTTGGTGGCAATGGTCGTGAGCGGCGCCTTCCTCACCACGTTCGGTTGCAGCATGCGTTGGTCTAACCCTTCACCTTCTGTTGCTCACCAACCCAACTTCGGCGATGACGCCCCCTTCCTTGCTACCATTGGGCATAGCAAACTTTGCCCTTCCATTGTGCACAAACGTGCTTGTGACCACCCTCATTACTGTGCGCATCTGGTACCTATCGCCTCGCAACACGCGCGACTTTCCGGGTGGGCGCTTCCCAATGGGAACGAGCCGAGCTGCAATCGACATCGTCATCGAGAGCGGTATGCTCTATCTGATCGTGCAGGTTGTTTTCGTCATCCTCTTCGCCATCCAGCACCCGGCCCAAGGCATCGTTGGGGTGATTGCCGTCCAGATATACGTACGTGATTGTGACATTGAAGAGTAAAACCGCGATAACCCAAACCTCATGCAGGGCATTGCACCCGTACTGATTATCATCCGTGTTGCTCTCGGAATGTCAACCACACCTTCCGGAAGGTTTTACGGTGCGACTGGATCAGTTCCAAAGCCTGTGCCCACGCAAGTGCGCGTTGGTTACAGCACGGCTGCATACTCGGATGTTGGCCAGCCCATGGATACCACAATCCCTATGCCTCAAACAAATCAAGGTATTCAGTGGTGAGGACCTGACCTCGGGCACCAACTCAATCGAAAATGCTACTTCTGTGTAGTTTGTTGGTGGGTCATACGCGTGATTGGTATTCATTCGTATCTGTTGTTACGAGACGGGCAGTGTGGATCGGGTATCCTTATTCTGTTATTCTGGTCGTGTTTTGGTTCGGGATTGCTTCGCCATCGGAGCTGTACAGATACCACTTGTATCTTTAGTTTCCCTGTATTTTCTCCACGTTTGCTGTTATGACACGTCTTCAACCGCTCCTCTCGAACTGGATGTCCAAACGCTATTTTAGGAACAATCGCCCACTGCAGATGTGATAGAGAGCCGACATATATCTGTCGAGGCAGAACTTCTTACCGGTCCGATGATCTCTTTCCATATGCATCAAAGGATGTGCAAGCATTCGTCTCGCGTTTGCTCGGCAATCACGGCACAACTGTACTCAGTTCCTTATCCCCTGCTTTCCCAGATGGGTCTGTGGCACACTGTTGGTTGCGGTCTCCAATGGAGCAACGGAAAAAACCACATCCGATTTGCGCGGCGCATGCAATAACAAAGAAGGAAATGGACAACGCATCTAACAACGGACAACGAGTCGAATGGTTGGAGGTGGGATCAACATGGATGAATAACTGAAGGCCGGAGCGCTAGAGAATTCTTTCGTCAAGTCTAGAAATCGAGCGTTCAATTGAGAGAGGGCAGGTTGACACCCGTGGAATATATTTCTATCAATAGCGATATTTTATCATTTACCCGCAACCAGATTCCGAGTCCACCACGTTATGTTTCATGACTAGCGCCGAGATCTGTAGAACGGGCATCATGACTGAAAGAACTTGAAGTGAGAATTGCGCTTCTTCGTGAGGGCTATTCTAACAATTTTGCTTGGCGTGTCCGCCGACGGAAAGAACCCTGAGGTCTATAGGCGGCCCAAGAAGACTTTGCCCCTACGTTCCGTCTCTGAACGCCCGGTGGAAGGGAAGATGTTTTAAGCGATCGCCGCATCACGGTGCTGTGTGAGGAGCGCGCGCGTTTCTTTCGTGATGATCTCTCTCTTCGTGATTGGTCACCATGACCAGAGCGATGACCGAGCCATCAGAGAACTAGTAAGTTGATTCTCTGGGAAATCGATGGGACAATCCCCGATGGGAACGCCGCATGGAAAGATCAATAAAAAAAACATGATACTTTCGCCCAAAGTGACCATTGGAGCAACCAATCCCAATCTAAGGTCCCGCCGTTGTGCTATCGGTCGCACAAAAATGATGTCTCTGTCACTGCCATGGTATGTTTCAGAAAAGTAATATGCTGAAACAGCCTCAGCCTGAAAACAACTTGAAACTGCACCCAACAAGGTTCAATTACCACTTGCCTTTGAGAAACTGTGCATGAAGATACCCAAGGGTGGCATAGTAGCACGGCCCGGTACATGTACAGTCGCAGTTACAGACGTAGCAGGTGCAAGCGGGGTTGACGAGCCACAACACCACCCGACCCAATCGATTGGCCGCGAGACTTTGAGTGACGGATGTGCGCATGCTCCCGTGGGAACTTCAAGCTTCAAGCTACTGGACCCTTAAGGGGACCGGCATAAGTAAGTACACCCGTCTCCCGCGTCGTACCCGGACACGGCAACGGTCGTCGAAGATGGTTTGTGACCAACATCTTGAGGATCGTCTTGAAATAAAACCGGATTCAAAAAAAAAAAAAAAAAAAAGTCTTGAAATTGGCCTTGGCTTCTACTTGCGGGGAGGGGACAGGGGTGGAGGAGAGAGGAAGGGAAGTCGAAGTGGGATTGGAGATCAAGAAGTTTGGAGAATCAGGGAGTGAATCGAATGAAGGGAGAAGAGTTGAGAAGTGAACAGGAAGGGGAACAGTGGGGACGTGCAGGGTAAGCTTTGAAGACCGGACCGGGTAGTGGCTTTAATTGCGGGTTCAGTTCGGAGGCCAGCATGGAATGCTGCCCTACACTGCATGCATAAATGCAGTGGGATTCAATTGGCCAGACTGGGGATTGAACCCACTGACAGGCATCCTGAATATATACAGGTGCTCTACCACTGAGCTACCAGCCATCAGTTTTACATTCTCCGTGTTGCCTATTGAATAGGCACATCCAGGTTGCGGCACGGCTGGGAGATGGGGCACGTGCTATGAGGTAATGACGGCGTCATAGGCCAGATCCGAATTCACACCTCTCGCACACACATCACCTAGTCGTACAAGAGAAAATCTATACACCCCCACACAAGCGAGAGCTACTTTTTTCACTAGTCCCAAGACCGATTCTCCGTCATGCGCTATCCTATTACACGGAACTTTCATGTCCTCCGCCGCGCGGCGGCGGACCCTGCCATCCAGACGGGGCGCGTCCCTGCCCCCCAAACCCGTACACTCGCCACCGTTGGCTCACGCATGACGAGTGACCAGGCGGACACCCCGCGCAACAAGACGAAATTTGGGCTGGATAGAGATACGCTCTACATCGGAGGTGGGCTGGCCGCAATAGGCGCTATCTGGTACTACTACGCGACGGTGGAGAACGCGCGTATTGAAAGGAAGCGAGAGCGCCTAGACTCGCCTGTTGCGACTGCGAATGCTGATGGGAGCCGAAAGCCATCGGTTGAAGACGCGCCACGCTCTGTGAAGAACCGTGCACAGGACGCGCTCAAAAACGTACACTAGGTGCACCCTAGGGGTCGAAAGGTCAAGAGTCCAAGTCTGAATTTCACGAGGTACGATATTAACTAGCCATTCGGAGCGGGAAAAGTGACCTAGTTAAGCGAGAGCGAGCTGCTGAGGAGGCAACTGAAAAGCTGAAATCATGTCATTTCTGTATCCGAGATAGCGAAGGAAGAAAGAGGGTTGCTGTTCTTGTATTGTACATCTATACGTATCGATCTTTGTCCTAGCAGAGTATTTTGATCCCAGTGTGCTGTGAATGCAGGTGGGTCGAAGAGGAACAGCAGTAAGCGCTTTAGCTTGGGCGTTTCGGATGACAGCAGCGAGGCTCTCGCAGGCGTCTTTTCGCACCCCGGCACGATGACGATATACTCGCGCGCGTGTCACCGTTCTCTAGTCGTCCTTGCGAAGAGAATGTGTCCCCAAACTCTTTGGCACATTTCCTTGCATTCCAAAGCCACTGTAACTCAGCCTACAGCCTACTCGAACACTGCCAGTGCTTCCCGCCTCTTTTCCCATTAGTCTCACTGTCCACTGTCCGGCGAGCAACGTGCCGCCATACACCTTCTATACTGTACTATTCCTAGTCCTGCACTGCACACTATGGCCCCCGGGATCCTCCGCCTTCGCACAGTCTGCTGCACGCTCGTCATCCCCATCCGCCTCGCAATCTGCCTCCCCCTGCTCATCTGCACCCTCAACGCATACAGCCCGCACGCCGCCCTCTTTCCAACCCCACAAAGCCCGCCCCCGCCCCTGCCGCAGCCACTCATCATCAACATCACGCGCCCCCGGCCAGCCCTCGCGAATCCGCCCGAAGATACGCACCGCGCGCCCGTATACGAATACATCGCCCTCCGGCCCCCGCCGGCGTCCGGCGGGGGCACGCACACCCTCGGTCGCACGCTCACGCTGTCGTTCGTGCTCGCCGCCGCGGCACTGAGCGTGCTGAGCATGGTAGCGCTGTGGCTGCCACGCGAGCAGGACGCGGGCGGCGGCGATGCGGACGACGCGACGCTCGTGGAGGCGGCCGAGGGCCGCGCTGGCGCGGCGCGGTGGGTGCGCGTGGGCGCGCTGTGGGGGGCACCGCGACGCGGCTGCTGCTCGGCGCGCTTGGGACGGCGGCAATGGTGCGGGTTGGCGTTGAGCGGCGCGCGCGCGAGGCGGCGCCTGGCCGCGGGGGCGGGGCTCGTTCGTCGCGGTGGAGGTGCTCGGGTGGCTCTTGGTGTGAGTTGAGTCGCGCCCTCTTCTTTTTGAATTTTTTTTTGGTTGATGCGAACGTGGTCGCGTCGACTGCTCTCTTTCTAGGTTGTGCTGTATTGCGGTGCGCTGCATCGCGTGTATTGCCTCTTGTGCCATGGCTCTGGGGCTCTAGCTCTGCAGGGCGGCGGCGCAAGCGCGAGCGCAAGGGAGGTGCTCCCGGAGGCTTGGTCCTGGAGCGCGTGGGGGTCTCGGAGGAGCCCGAATCCAAAGTAACTTAGCAGTAGCAAGACATAAGGGCCACATCTCGGGCCTCTCCGTACACTTCTGTACGCTATCTTTAATCACATAACTACAGTCGGCTATCTCCTCTTTGCGCTGCGCCGATCGGATGGGGGATTACTCTGGGCAATATCGGGCACGGCGACGTTCTAGCGTCGCCGCGCCACGAGCAGCTGTGCACCCCGCAGCGACTCCACCGCCCCCGCAGTTCCAGCTCCAGTTCCGATGGGACGCACATTCCCTCTCGTCGCGGTCCCTGATCGCCACGAGATTGGGAGCCGGCTGGACGAAAATCATCCAACGTACTTTGGTGACTGACGCCCATTTTGGTCGATCGTTTTGCTTGTGTTTACGGTCTTCGCCTGCGTGGCGCGCGCGCATCCCGGGCTTCGTTTCGCACTGGCGTTCTGGAAGCTGAAGGGTCAAATCAAGCAAGAGACGTTATTACATCGGCGCTGGATTTCCCCGAGGATCAGCCTGCACTTTGCTCCTAGCACCACGAGAGAAAGAATGACATTCTTCGGATCAATATCTCATATCGTAAGGCGATGCTTAATTGCGCCCCCATTTTTGCACCTATGAGGGATTTAATTTTTTTGTTCCGCCCCGCCCAACATCTTTTAAAGTTTTTTTTTTCCTCCCTTCGGTGGCGGCGGCGCCTGACAGCAGCAAATTTCCCTTACGGGTCTACAGTAATGGGAGAGAACCACCAGCAAGTGGGAACCACGGGCGTCATTTATGCGGCTTGTGGCGCCTCCAAAGGTGCACTTCTTATTGGTACGTGGTACGTTGCTCGTGCCTCGCGCGCGAGGCGCAGTAAATGCATCTATTATTAAATATCTGTCTTCGTTATAGTGGGCTAAGAACCGTAAATCGCCGATCAATCGGTCTGTCTAACAACAAGTGCAAAGCCAAAAAATAGGGTTTATTGTCGATGTCGATTAATGGGACGAAGGCAAAAAGGCAGAAAATGGGGGGTGCGGGGAGGCGGTCGAACACTCAAACTCAAGCGGCGCTCAAAACGGGGCCCGCAACGCTGATGACGTCGCGCCAGCCCACGCTCCAGGGCTCCCGCCGCGAGGGCACCTCCTCGCGTATGCCGACATGGTCCCAGAACGCCCTCGCGCTCCCGTCGGAGCGCACGACGTCCGCGCAGACGCGCGTCGGGGCCTGCGCGGTGATGAGCGAGGTGGGCACCTGCGGCGCGTTGGCGGCGAGGGCACGCAGGGAGGCCGCGGCGGTGCGGAGGAGGCGCGTGGCGAGGCCGCGGCGGCGGAAGGCGGGAGGACGCCGAGGGCGAGGACGTGCACCTCGACGGGGGTGCGGGCGCGGGCGGTGGTCAGGTCTGAGGTGGGGACGTGGAAGGCGGTGGCAATGCAGGCGACGGGCTTGTTTGAGGAGGGGAGGGTGCGATTAGGCAGAGGTGCGTTTGGTGCGTGAGGAGCTGGTGGAAGAACGTTGGGCGTAGGGAGGGGAAGGACGGCGAGAGCTCGGCCTGTTAGGATGTGAAGATGCGAGTGTTAGTTAGCATGGCTAAAAACAATAGGGGGGTTGGCTGGGACGTACGTGGAGTGCGCGGACGTTCTGGATGTCCGCTGAGGTGAGCGGGCGGATGATGAATTCGTCAGCGGGCCATTGGGATGATGTGGCTGGGATAGTGACGGATGGGTTCTCCATGTTAAGCAGAGGTCAGTGCAGTGGGCCAAAGAAGAGCCGGGGGAAGGTCGTGAGACAGTCGGTTGTAAGATCAGGCGGCTTATGAGGTGCAGCAGGCCGAGTGGGGAGCGGAGGCTGACAAGGGGGTAGGGGTACGATCGTTTGTCATCTTGCGGGGCAGGAGGACCGCTTTTAAGTGTGTGAGTTGTGCGCGGGCGGCTTAATGGGATATTGTGGCACACCCAAAGTGGGTGTGGGTCCTCGTTTCGCAAAGAACTTGAAACGAGGCGTCGGAGGAAAGGCGGGGAGAAACTCTCATTCCAAAATAGAGAAGGTCAAAGGGACGATGAAGGAGGAACAAGAAGCAGAAGGTCATTCTGCTGCTGCTGCCAGGACGGATTGCTGACGAATGGGGCGGAGCGTGCCTAACGTCGAACATCGTGGTCATGATGGAACGTTGGTTTGGTCTAGACACACCATTTTTGCTGTGCTTTAATCTATGCGTCCATGCAGTCCGGTGGAGAAATGGAGAGGACGGAAAGATGACGCCTGTCGTCACGTCAAAGTCGAAAGGACTGATTCTGATCCACTCTTGAGTTCGTGTTTCGTCGTTCGTTCACCTGGGCTATTTAGGTAGCGTAGTGGCCGGAATTATCACGGTTCACGCGTTCACGTTTCGGGGACGTCATTCCTCCAAGTGGCTTCCAAACAGCTGTTAAGGCAAAAGGTGTGCGCAAAAGTGCGATGTACCGATGGGCCCAGAGTTAGAATTGATTGATGCACCACAAACGGGGAAATGGCGGCGCACAAGAGCAGTGCCACGTTGGAAAAGAGTTCAAGGCACGTTCAAGGTCTGGCCGACCGGTGAGCGGTGAGGCCCTTGTGACCTCGCTCCGACCGTATCGGCGGCTATTGGCGAGTCGGTGTCGGGTGGAATCGGAGAGCGGGGAAAGCCGGGACAGGAGTCAACGTCAGCACGCGGTCCAATGTTCGCATCCGGTGTCAACAAGGCCCGCGAGGCGATAAAATAACGCCGAGATCCCCCACTGGGCGTAGCCATACCCTTGCCTCTCCTACGGTCGCCGCGATCATGATGGATGAACTTGTCGCATTTAACTACCTGACGACCAGACGATCGATTGATAGACAAAGTATTACATGGTAGATAGGAAACGGCGGTTCAGTAAGCAATGGCGGATCGGGCCGGGCACCCCAGACCGCGGCACGCGTTTCAGCGCACCCGGGGAAAGAAATG